GTATTTTCAAAATTATTTAAATTAAAGTTAGTTAACATACAGTGTAGAATTGGCTTCCAGAGTAGAACCCAGTGATTCATCACTTACGTATAACACCCAGTGTTCATCCCAACAAGTGTCCTCCCTGATGCCTATTACCTGCTTAGCCCATCCCCCTACCCACCTCCCTTCCAACAAACCTCAGTTTGTTCTCTGTATTTAAGAGTCTTTTATGGTTTGCCTCCCTCTCTGTTTTTATCTTATTTTCCCTTCCCTTCCCCTATGTTCATCTGTTTTGTTTCTTAAATTCCACATATGAGTGAAAGCATATATTTGTCTTTCTCTGACTGACTTATTTCACTTAGCATAATACATTCTAGTTCAATCCACGTTGTTGCAAATGGCAAGATTTCATTCTTTTTGATTGCCAAGTAGTATTCTGTTATGTGTGTATATATACGCACACACATCATCTTCTTTATCCATCAGTCAATGGACATTTGGGCTCTTTCCACACTTTGGCTATTGTTGGTGGGGCTGCTATAAACATTGGGGTGCATGTGCCCCTTCAAATCAGCATTTTTGTATCTTTTGGATAAATACCTAGTAGTGCAGTTGCTGGGTCATAGACTAGTTCTATTTTTAATTTTTCGAAGAAACGCCATACTGTTTTCTAGAGTGGCTGTACCAGTTTGCATTCCCACCAATAGTGCAAAAGGGTTCCCCTTTCTCTGCATCCTTGCCAACATCTGTTGTTTCCTGAGTTGTTCATTTTAGCCATTCTGACAGGTGTGAGGTGGTATCTCAGTGTGATTTTGATTTGTTTTTCCCTGATGATGAGTGATGTTGAGCATCTTTTCATGCGTTTGTTAGCCATCTAGATGTCTTCTTTGGAAAGAAGACATGTCTTCGTGCATTTCTTCACTGGATTATTGTTCTGCGCATTTAGATATAAAACCCCTCTATTACCCCAAATCTTCAGTAAAAAGTCTGCCATGTATGTTAGAGGCACTTTGGAGAATGTGAGTGAGGAAGTACTCTTGGTGTGCTGATCCCACTCTGTCTACTCTCAGAGTAAGCCTGGAGAGTGCATGCCCCTAAAGCATCCGTCAGCCACTCCCAGATGAGGACATGTTGGTGGGTAAATACAACTTCCTCACTCCCTGGTTGGGACAACTCTGAGGTTTATCCCTCGCGTCATCTCCAGATTCCCCAGTGGCATGGACCACCAGTTGCCCACAGTGGTAATGTATGCTTTACTCACTGACTTTCCCTCCTGACCTCACATCTCCACTCCCTCACTGGTGTTTCCCCGGGGTTACCTCGCAAGTAAACTACTTGTGATCAAAACCTAGCCCGAGGGCTTGCTACTAAATGATCCTACACTTGGGCAGTGCCCAAAAGTTTGAAAACTTAAACTGAAATCCAAGAGCTTTATAAGTATGCTTAGGAAAAATATCTCCATATTTTTAATGTCTGTTAATGTCTTTAATAACCCCCTATGGTGGAGAACCAATACTGTGTCAGAGTCTCTTGTTTCATTCATGGGCTTTCAGCATAAAGTTTGAAAAGGTGGAAACAACAAATAATTGTATTTTCAAGGTTCATTTTTAGTTTGCTCCCTGCTAGCACCTTAAAACAGATGGTATCCATTCAAATGAAAATGAGGTACAAAAGTGATTTTTATTAAAATTAACATTCAATGTAAGTTTTGCTTTATTATGCATACCACAAATAACTGTGTGAGTTCCCTGTAAATAGGGTGTATATTCTACATAATTCATAGTTATTCATGCTCTACCAATTACATTGAAATTATGACTGGAGTTACCACAGAACCTCAATAATAATTACTATATAATTTGCAGTTTTCCGGATTGGGGAGCTCTTTGGAAGCTGCAAGTAACTAGCCAATTGTTTTTAGAGAGTACAGTAATGACTGTTATTACAGAGGAGTTGAATGAAGCTCCTTTTTATGCCCTGAAGATTACTTGATAATTACATTTGATGCTATCATTAAAAAAAAAGTCAGCAACAGATAAACAGAGAGCAAACTAACTATAATAACAGTCCAATAATGTGGGCCAATATCGTTGGCTGTGAAAATTAACACAATCTGCCATCGATTTTTAGTTCTCTAATGGGAACACCTGCATATACAAGTACACTTAATTAGATGGATTGCCTTGCCTCCTGAATGGCGTTAGAAGAACAATAAGTGAAATTGAAGGGAAGATTTCTGAGATTTTGTTTGTGATGTGAAAGTACAGTAAGGCCACAGAGATGACTCAAAGGAAGTTAGCCCCCCTCACCGCACCCAAAACGAACACAGCTCCATCCTCCCTTCAAAGGCCTCCGTATGGTGCTCTGATCATCCCGGCATCTCTTTTCAGTAACCTGACCCTGGACTAGAATGTATTACTGTGGCCCACTTCTCAGAAAATCTCTATTTTCTATAGATGAAGCCCATTAAAAGATTTCTTTTTTTTTTTTTTAATTTTTTTTTTCAACGTTTATTTATTTTTGGGACAGAGAGAGACAGAGCATGAACGGGGGAGGGGCAGAGAGAGAGGGAGACACAGAATCGGAAACAGGCTCCAGGCTCTGAGCCATCAGCCCAGGGCCTGACGCGGGGCTCAAACTCCCGGACCGCGAGATCGTGACCTGGCTGAAGTCGGACACCCAACCGACTGCGCCACCCAGGCGCCCCAAAGATTTCTTACTTGTAAGTACGTGAAAACAGTATTTCTCCTCTACTGTTTTCCCTTTTAATGTTTGTTTATTTTAGAGAGGGTGCACGCACACGCACACGTGTGCACATGCGCCCGTGAATGGGGGAGGGGCACAGAGATGGGGGGGGGGGACAGAGGATCCCCAAGAGGGCTCTGTGCTGACAGCAGAGAGCCCCGTGCAGGGCTTGAACTCACACAAACCATGAGGTCATGACCTGAGCCAAAGTCAGACGCTCGACCGACTGAGCCATCCAGGCGCCCCAACTATTTTCCCCTTCTAAACTAGGCCTTCCTGGCCTTTTCCCAGACATTTTTTGTGCAGGGCGATGCTTCTCATAGGCACTGACCCCAGGCTAGTGTCAGGGATTCCAAGTTTGCTTTCAGTCCTGTGAATCTCCTTTCCCCTTTCTCCTCCTCTCACCTTTAGCGCATGTCTGAGCAAAGCTTATTTTTATGATGTGATCTTGTGCCATCCCTGTGCTACCTTTCCCAGTGCCAACTGCTCTGTAAAATTACCTCCAGGGGGTGAATGCAAGATTCTCTCCCCATCTTAAATACCTCAGCCAAGGCCAGGGCCGAGTGGCTTCTGAAATCCAGTGTCCTAGGCTGCACCTCGTCAAGTTACCTTCCTGCAACTCTTGGGTATAGCTACAATAAGTGCCCACCGTCCTGACCTCCCTGCTGGAAGAAGAGAAGTCCCTGCCTGAGAACAGCCACAGTGACAGCATCAAGACAGTCTCTGCCACGCTCATTTTCTGCGGCAGCTAACTCGAAGTAAAAGCTCCTGCCTTTCACTGGTAGGTTGCCCTGGGAACCGCCTTTTTCAGTCTATTAAGATCTTTGTTCATATTTTGTCTCGCTGCTAGTATTGGCTCCTGTTTCTAATGTTAATAAGACTTCCACCAGCCGGCTCGCTGAAATGGCCCTCTCATACTTTTATTCAACTGATAAACTCCAACCACTTTATGACAAAACCATTTTATTTAACGGTCTCCAAAAGCACCCCATAAAATGCTTCACGAGTCCTTTCTTGAGGCCTTTGTAGCAAGACCTACTGGACTTTCAGAATTCCTGTGACCAAAGTCTCATCTACTTCTAGAAGACTCTAGGTGGTGGAAGGACCCCCTATAGAAAATCTATTGGCGGTATGGACGACATGACAGGCTGATAAGATGGCTAGAAAGGCTGAAGTAGACACAGTTGGAGGTGCTGCCCAGCTGTCCCTCTGTCAGGAAACTTCCTTCCTCACCTTCTTCCATAGAATTGGGCCACCAGCAACTGAATCAATTCTAGTACACCATCCGTCTGGCCTCAGTGATTGGTGCAGAAGCGGGTATGTGACCCACAGAGGACTCTTCTGTGTCTTTCTATGATACCTAGATCTTGTTAAAGAGAGTAAATCTCTTCCCTTGGCATGACAAAGACTGCAAGTAGCCAAAAACATGGAGAGAGAGAAAGAGAGTGAGAGAGTATCTTGATAATATAATTTGACCTATTGGGCTTAACTGTGCTGGAAGAAGCCAATACATGTGTTTGTTTTTTTTTTTTCCTTAAACTAATTTGAGTGAGTTTCCTGCCACATGCAGCTAACAGAATTCCAGCTAATAATCCCATTTATTTTACAGATGAGGAGCCTAGGAGTTCAAGAGGTTAACTGATTTACCTAAGTCCACTCATCTAGTTAGTAATATGGCCAATTGGAAAGCACGTTGTCAAAGAATGTGACATGAACCATCTATTCGTGCTGGGTCAGAGAAAAAGGACCCTGTTGAAAGCTATTTGGATGCTGATTCTGTCATTAGCTCTTCCAGCTCCATGCTAGCCAGCTCTCCTACGTCATCTGAAAATGCGATAAGCAGCCAAAAAATGTCTAAGCCACTATTAATATTCTTAAACAAAAGTATATCCCAAGTGCAGAAACCTTCCTCCAGAATGACATTGACCCACTGACCCATCTTCTTTTGATATAGCTGTTCAGTTGCTTGCTAACCCACCTAACTACTGTCACGTAGGCTACACCCTTGCTACTCAGTGTGGCCCGTGGACTTGTGCAACACCATGAAGCTGGTTAAAATGCAGATTCTCGGGCCCCACTGCAGACCTCCAGAATCAGAATCTGCATTTTAACAAGAGGCTCAGGGGATTCACTGCACAGTCAAGTTTGAGAAGCATGGATATTGGTTCTTCACCTTAACAACACACACACACACACACACACACACACACACACAATTTTGCCACATATAGTAGTCCCCATTTATCTGAGGATTTGCTTTTTGCAGTTTCAGTTACTGGCAGTCAACCACAGTCCAGAAGCAGATGATCCTTCTCCTGATGTATTGTCATGTCAATAGCAACCTAACGCTATGTCACAATGCCTACATCATTCACTTCACTCCATCTCATCAAATAGGCATCTTATCAACTCACATCACCACAAGGGTGAGTACTGTATAATAAGATATTTTGAGAGAGAGAGAGAGAGAGATCACATTCATGTAACCTTTATGACACTATATTGTTATAATTGTTCTATTTTATTATTAGGTATGTTAATCTTTTACTGTATCTACTTTATAAATTATTTTTTTTTTATCACAGGCATGTATATATAGGAAGAAACGTAGCATATATGGGTCCGGTACTATCCACAGTTTCAGGCATCCACTGGGGGCCTTTGAACATAAAGGGGGACCTTTATCCTTTGTACCTTTAATGAGTTTGTACATACATGCCCCTTGTCTAAACGTCAGGCACTTTTGTGGAAATAAGAAATACAGTAGTTTGATGTGTCTCTTTCTTGCTGAATCTGTGCAAGCTCGTATTGATCGCTATTGATAAACTATCTTAATGAAAAGAAGTATTGCCTGGGCTTAATGCCAAATTGACAGAAGTACAGATTAGAGTACTTTTTTTTTTTTTTTTTTGACTTTTGGAAAATTGGGATCACATTTGCCCTTCTTGAGTCTTTCAAAAACCACCCCAAATATTCTTCCAACACATTTCTTCACACTTCCTTAAAGATGGCAAAGGGGCTCAGCGATTTCATTTGCAAGTGTTTTCAGTACTCTGGAACTCATCCAGGTTAGGTCATTCAAGCTAATTTAGAGCATCGAGGTCACTGGATTTCAACCCCGGCTGCACATTAGAATCACCTGAATCGTGAGACTCACAGCTTTAAAACTACCTGTGCTTGGGCCCCTTCACAGGCCAATTGAATCCACATCTTGGGGGGCGGGGGGAGAGAGTATCAGTAGGGTATTGCTTTTTTAAGCACCCCCAGGTGATGCTAGTGTGCCAGCAGAGGTAAAAGCCATTGAAAAGAGGACTGAGGGTTTTTTTTTTTTTTTATAAATTTTTTTTTCAACGTTTATTTATTTTTGGGACAGAGAGAGACAGAGCATGAACGGGGGAGGGGCAGAGAGAGAGGGAGACACAGAATCAGAAACAGGCTCCAGGCTCTGAGCCATCAGCCCAGGGCCTGACGCGGGGCTCGAACTCACGGACTGCGAGATAGTGACCTGGCTGAAGTCGGACGCTTAACTGACTGTGCCACCCAGGCGCCCCAAGAGGACTGAGGTTTTTAAAAATCGAATTCCCAGGGTGCAGAGAATCAGAATCTCTGGTCGAGGCTCAAGCATCGATAGTTGTAAGCACCCCAGATGATCCTTGGGTGCAGCGGGACAGAGAACCACTGAGCTGGGTGAGCCCAATAAGCTCTTCTCCCCTAATTGAGCTCCTTTCCTGATGTCAGAATTTGTCCCATCCTTCTTTCCTGTCTGAAGGGAATTCCCCTTGATGAAGGAATTCAAAACGAAACAGAAGTTCCTGATGCCTTTCACACAGTTTGTCTTTCAGTTTTATCTTGGCTTTCCTTTATTTCCTCCTCAGTAGTGTAAAATGTTCTTAAAAATATATTTTTTAATTTTTTTAATGTTTATTTATTTTTGAGACAGAGAGAGACAGAGCATGAACGGGGGAGGGTCAGAGAGAGGGAGACACAGAATCTGAAACAGGCTCCAGGCTCTGAGCTGTCAGCACAGAGCCCGACGCGGGGCTCGAACTCACGGACCGTGAGATCATGACCTGAGCCGAAGTCGGCCGCTTAACCGACTGAGCCACCCAGGTGCCCCTTAAAAATATGTTTTAATGTTTATTTACTTTTGAGAGAGAGAGGGAGACAGAGTGTGAACAGGGGAGGGGCAGAGAGAGGGAGACACAGAATCCAAAGCAGGCTCTAGGCTCCGAGCTGTCAGCACAGAGCCCAACGCGGGGCTCGAACTCACAGACTGCAAGATCGTGACCTGAGCCGAAGTCGGATGCTTAACCGAATGAACCACCAAGGTGCCCCTGAAATATTCTTGATTTGACCAGCTTGTCCCTAAGAAAACACTGCCCAGTCCTCATGAAGCCTATCATGTCCCTAGTTTAAGAATCTAGAAACATTTATGGAGTAAGCCATTTGCATTCCGTCACCTTAGTGCAATATCCTCCCAGACTTTTCCCCACACCTGCAGGACAGTTATGATTGACACCATTAGGCAGATGAAGAAACTGAGGCTCAGAAAAACTAAGTGACTTGCTCAGAACTATACAGCCATTAGGTGGCCAAACTAGGATTTGGATCCATGGCTCTTTGGCTCTAAAAATCATACTCTTTTTCATTATGGCACAGTTCCTCCCACTTTTTTTGTTTTTTTGTTTTTTTTTTTTTGTTTTTTTTTTTTTTTTTGCTCCTCACAATTCTATTTTTAATTAAAATCTTAGGTGCATAAATTTTCCAGTATACTAAATTCTTATCACAGATAAACCAGACCAGGCATGGAATATCTATCACTGATTCCTAGAGAAGTTGTATTAGCATGACCTGGAAGCAGGCAATCTATTCCTTTCTGTAAGTCATAACTACAAGAGTGGACCATGATATCTTCAAATGTTTGCACGAGTTTTTAACTCTGTACTGGGAGTACAGTGCTTATAGATCTGTTTTCATTATAGATCTATTTCCAACGTGTTTTCTAGCTTGTTAAATAGTATTTTTAAAATACCATAATTCCTTGCAATCCTCTCCCCAAAAAGTAGAAATCTAAATCCACATATCTCACCTATTAACAAAAATCTTATCTTATTTCTAAGATTTAGGTATAAGGTGGCTAAGTGGTCTCCATTTTCAAGGAAGAGAAAACATAAAATTGGTTTGACTTGTATTTGAGGGATTTAGATTAAATATGAGGAAGTTGTTTATTATGTTAAGTATGGGGAAAAGTAAGTTTACCTGTCCACCTCTAATGGGCTTTTTCAGTGAAATCAGGACTTCATGAAAAGTGGAGAGAGGAGGAATAACATTCTACTTCTTTAGGGATGGTTTATTTTGCACTGACAGTTCTGGGCCGTTTGAGATGCATTAGGATAAGTTGGAGGAATCCTGGCCTGCAACCTAGAGAGAGGCAAAAGGTGATCATTTCTTCTAAGATAATTCTCATTGTAGTATTTCAGGACTAGAGTAAGGTGTCAGAAATGGGAAGTGAGGGACATGTCTGCCTTTTAAAAGTTAAAATGCCAGAGAAACACATTCTGGATCAGAGAACGTAGGGTCAAAGTCACCTCAAGAAGACAAGGCTAGCAAGGTTCCACTAGAACTTATTTTCATGTAATTTCTGTTCTTCATCCTTTCTGCTGCCTGGAATGGGTTGAAATGGATGGAGCTCTCTCAGTTATATTGGATCATGAGATGGCATTGAGAATAGAAGCCACTTTGATGAATATAGCAAATAAAAAATAGAGGGTCTATTCCAGACCAGAAACTGTTCTCCATCTTAGGCAGATATTTTGCATTCTTCTGTTATATGCAGCCCAATCTAGTCCACTAATAGATTCACATTTTGGTAAGCTCTTGAGCCTTCTTAGCCCAGGGCCCCATGGAAAGCAAGGAGTAGAGATCCATTCAAAGAAAAAGTACATAAAACCAGTTCAGGAAAAATATGTAGTAGCCAGATCAGCTCAGTAACTGAGGGTGTTACTGAACTGAAAATATTCTGCTAACCAGCTCGAAGATGGTAGTATCGCCCTTTCCTGACCAGAAGAAAATGATTTTAAATCTTATTGGATTTTGGTCCACGTTCCTGGAGGAAGCCTAAGGGAGGCTGAGTGAAGGCACCAGGGGAGCAACTGCTGTCTAAAAGCTCCACTGCAAGCGGGCTAATTGCCCCCTATATAGATGTAAAGATGCAGGACTCCATTCAGAGTGTTACTCAGATCCCAGTACTGACTGAAGTAGTGAGGTCTCTCGGCGTCACCTTAAGAGCTAACCTTCTGGCAAGGGCAGCGTAAGAATCTTTAATTACTCTTTTCTTTAACTGATATCAGCTGATCTGTCCATTTGATACAACCTGCACCGAATGGAGACTCGTGCATTTAGTCTTCTCCTGGCCGTGGGGCTTGCTTAATTATTCTTGGCATCCAGTTTATCGCCTTAGAGCCTTCCTCATGAAAGACATCATTCACACCTCAGAGAAAGGAGCTCTTTATAATATGGCATTTTCTGGAGAAGATTTCACCTACCAAATGGGAAAATACAGCTTGTCAGCCAGACTGGTGGAACATTTTTCATGCTCTGAAAGTTTTCTTCCAGCTATTCAGCAGGCTGTGTTCTGGGCCATTTTCAAGATCTACTGAGAGCCAGTGACTGCTTGTGCCCACAGACTGGGCTGCCACTCAGCCCTCCTGGTAACACTTCTGTGCTTGAGTCCTCTTCAGAAATACCGTGTTGCTTTAGGAGGAGCAATGAACTGCTCTGGGTTCAGATTCTGACTCTGTCCCTCACCTTGAAGTGGCCCGGGATGACACCTTTGGGCAAGTCAGTTAATTTCTCAGGGCCTCAGTCCACTTGTTTGTAAGATAAGTGGTTAAAGTATTAACACTTTCAGCTTTCAGTAATTTTGTGGGTTTTCTTATTAGGAATAGAAAAATTAAAACATTTTGCTCCGCATGAGCAATTATTTTTTATTGCTGAAATAAAACACATACTTTGCCAAAAGCACAAATGTATATTAGCAGAAAGGTTAAAATGTAAATTTCCATATTCTCACCACTGTTCGTATTTTATATTTTTTCCTACATACTTAAAAACAATTTTTTTTAATGTTTTTAATTTATTTTTGAGAGAGAGAGAGAGAAAGAGACAGAGCATGAGCAGGGAAGGGGCAGAAAGAGAAGGAGACACAGAATCCGAAGCAGGCTCCAGGCTCTGAGCTGTCAGCACAGAGCCTGACGCAGGGCTTGAACTTGTGAACCATGAGACCATGACCTGAGCTGAAGTTGGATGCTTAACCAACTGAGCCACTTAGGTGCCCCTCTACAGACTTTTAAATAAGCATAAACATGCTAGAAATCTTTTTGCAAAAATATCACATCCAATCAACTGTTCCGTGGTCTGCTTTTTC